AAAAAAAAAAAAAGGAAGGAAGAATGTCAGAAATATTGGGAGCCTTCTGACTCTGAGGGTCTGTTCAAGTATTTAAACTTCAAAATACTTTCCCAACCTCATTTTTAGTGAAGGAAGTTATATTAAAGAGAGTAAGATAGAAAACCAATGCCTCTGTGAACCAGAATAAATCTAGTTACTACAACACTGAGGGAGACCAGTTGGTCGAGGCAAAGGAACGTGGATACTCCTGGTGTCAGTGATCTAGAGCTGCTACTACTTGCTTTCCTGACCCTAAGATGATTCTGGGTGAGCCCATAAAATGAGATATTTTGTCAGACCTGAGTTCAACCATGTAGACCTCAGAGAATGTGTAACATACTGTTTGTTGGTCCAGCCGGTACCCAAGGAGGAGTCGGTCACGTGCATGCCTCTGTACACACAGCGCGGGGATTCTCTAAACTCCAGTTTACTGATGAACACAGAAGGGGCCATGGAAGCCTGAAGAATGTACGTCCCTCTTCTGCTCTTTTCCTGCACAGGTGCCAGTGTGTTAAAAGTGAAAGCAAAGAAGCAGCCTGTGTTTTGATTTGGTGCTGAACAAAACACTACTTGCACTCTGATTTCTGTCCGAAGAGTACAGACAAAGGGATTCTACAAACTTAAATATGGAGAGGGGAATTCTCTATTACTCCCTAAATTCCTAACTTGAGCTCAGCTATCCCATTCTCACTACTGAGGGGTTCTCTTCACTGAGTCATACAGGTAACCTTCAGGCTATCTCCAGGGGTAAGAGGAAGTTGGTGTAATTCATGTGATAAAAATTTAATACACATCAATTCTTTATGTTTATTGCTATTAGTTTCTCAGGAAAAAAAATGATAAGGTCCCCACCCTCAAAGATTTTACAACTGGGAGTCAAACATAAAAATGAACTAAGGCTAGGGACGTCTAGGTGGCTCAGTTGGTTGTGTCTTCCTTCAGCTCAGCTCATGATCCCGGGGTCCTGGGATTGAGTCCCGCTTCCGGCCCCCTGCTCAGCAGGGAGCCTGCTTCTCCCTCTGCCTGCTCCTTCCCCTGTTGTGCTCTCTCTCTCTCTCTCTCTCTGTCTGACAAATAAATAAATAAACATCTTAAAAATAAGTCTCTACACAGAGTACACTTACATTGTTGATTTTAAGGCAAGACTGAGCACACTAACCTTTATTGAGGATCTACTATGTTCCAGGTACTGGCATAGGAACTTTCATTTACCCCTCTGATTAAGCTGCCCTAGCTCACCGGCTAGGCGAGAGATGCTAATCTGCATTTTACTAAAGAAAGCTCCAGGTAAGAATGGTTAAAGAACTAAATAAGTGTCTTTTGACCCAGAGTTTTGATACAAAACCCAGGAATCATTCTACTACATCGAACCTAATGAT